GAGGGCTGAGCTTGGGCAAAGGCCAGAGGCTTGAAAGAGAACAGAGGGAGGTTGGGCTCTGTGAGCTCCATGACGCACGTGGTGACGGGGAGCCACGCCAGGTCCTTGAGGAGGTGAGGACCCTGTCCATTGCCAACCTTCCTGCCCCATTCTTACAGATCTGGAGGTGACGCCCGGCCCTGGGGCCTACAGCCCAGAGAAGGTGGCCCCCATGCGCCAGCGGACCCCCCCAGCTTTCACCCTGGGCTCCCGCTTCCGCCCGCGGCCCCTGGACACCTCAGCCCCTGCCCCCAACACCTACACCCTGCCTTCCCTCTGGGGCTCCCAGATCTTCACCAAGCCCAGCAGCCCAAGCTACACGGCAGCAGGCCGCACGCCCCCCGCCCGACCCCCGCAGGACCCCACTGAGATACCGGGTCCAGGCCAGTATGATAGCCCGGACCCCAACGCCTACCGTCAGCGCCGGCCGGCCTTCACCATGCTGGGGCGGCCCCGAGCCCCGCGCCCCCCGGATGAGACGCCTGGCCCCGGCACCCACAGCCCCGAGCAGGTCACCATGACCAAGGCCAGGGCCCCGGCATTCACCATGGGCATCCGCCACTCCAAACGGGCCACGACCATGGGCGTGGACACCGCACCCTGATGCCCTTGGGGGACAGGACGCCTGGCCTGGGCTGAGCCTCAGTTTCCCATGCTGTGAAGTGGGGTGTGGGCAGGTGGTGGGCGTGCCTAGGAGAAGCCAGGGTCGGGGGAAGGTGCCTCCTTTCTTCCTGTTCTCTGGACCGTCTGAGGTCCTTCTAGGCCACCTGCTTTCTCCAGTCCCGGGGGGGCTGTGACCCCGTGGTCCCGACAGGGAGAGCCTCCTTCCAGCGTCCCAGTTTCTTCTCTCCGGGTCACACCAGGCCAGGTCAGGCCAGGCCAGGTGGAAAAAGGGACACTCTGGTCCTCTCAAGCTGCTGTGGCTGGGGGGGCGGGCGCCTGTGTCCTAGAACTCAGTGTCTGCCCGCTAGGGCCTGGGTCCCCAGCACAGCTTGGGTTTTTGCCAAACCTCTACTCATGGAAGCACTGAATCCAGCCCCGAATCAGGCTGGAAACAGCCCTGCTGCCCCTTCGCACCCTCTAGCTGCTTGCCAATAAATCCCCGTGGCACCAGGAGCTGTCCGCATCACACGCGCGTTGTCTGTTCATGTCACAGGAAGGAAACCCAAACACTGCTCTCGAGATCCAGACCCCCAACTCTGCAGCCCCTGGGGATCTGGATGGGACCAGAGACAGGATCCAGGGGTACAGGAAGCGAGAGGTGGGGCCAGGGCTTTGAGTGGGGGGGGATAGCCAGGTAGGCTTCTTGGAAGAAGGGACACTGAAGCTGGGCTTTGAAGGATGCATAGGAATTTGATGGAGTCTAACATTTGCCATCAGTAGGTTCCTACCGTGTTCCAGATATCGGTAAGATCATCCCACAGTGACTCAGGAGGCAGGTCATGTTTACCAAGGGGAAACAGGGCTTCAGGGAGATTGGACACTTGTCTGAGGGCACTGAGAGTGTGTGCCCTTCTGATGCCAGGATGTAAATCCTGCCCTTTGGGCTCTGTTCCAGCCGCTCTTTCCCAGGGACGGGAAGGAAACACGTGGATGGAGTCCTATAACCGAGCCCTCCATGGGATGACACGTTATGAACCCCAGCCCAGAAAGACCCTAACCCAGGAGCTTGGGAGGGACACAGACTGCACCTCGACCCCCTGGGGGAGAAGACACGGAGCGGGGGTGGGGTGGGGGGGGTGGGGGTGGGCACAGTAGGCAGGACCTAGAGGGCTCCTGGGGTGGGAGTCAGCTCTCTCCCGCTCTCTCCCTCTCCCCCCAGCCTGGGGTGCCAAACTCGAATACACACCCTTCACCCAACTAGGTGGACACATACCAGGCCCCCCCGCACACACACCTGGGCGGGAACCCAGACTCCCTCCTCCCACTCCCTCTCCCCGCCCCCACACCTGGACACACACAAGGTCACATCCGCACACAATATACATACAAGCCAACCCGCACACAGCCCACAGGTTTGCAGTCCACAACAGACACAGAGCGCACAGAGTCCAGGTGGGGGCTCCAGACCCCGCCAAACGTCACCCCCCCCACACCGACCCAAGGCCACGCTCTCCCCGCCCGCCCCTCGCGGACCGCAGGCGCACAATGGCTCCCTAGGCGAGAGGCTCGGGCCTCGGGCATCGCAGCCCCCGGCCCAGCCCGGCGGCCAATCACGGCCGCGCGCGCCCCTCCCGCCAGCCCCCCGTCGCCGCCTCCTCCCCGGCCCGCGGGAGGCGGCCGCGCGGTGATCTCACCGCTCTGATTTATCGATCCGGCCCCTAGCGGCCTCGCCCCTCCTTCCCTTCCAGCGCCACCTGCCCCGGCCCCGGCCCCTCCCTTTGTTTCCCGGCAGCCGGCCCTGCCTGGGGCGGGGTTGGAGGGGGAGGGGAGGGGGTCGGCCAGCCCCGGGCTGGGAGGCTGGGTCCTGGGGTGACCGAGACCGTCCGCTCCCCGGTGCAGAGGCGGCAACCCTTGAGGCTTTGGCGGACGGACAAGCCGGCAGGCCTGGGAGGCTCAGGCCCTGGAGTTGAGTTGATGCCGGACGGGGCCCCCCCGAAATGGGAGGAGCCCGTGACCCTCCGGCCCGCGCCCCTGACTTACAGACGGGGAAAGTGAGGCCCAGGGCTAGGCAGCGTAGGGCCCGAGTCTGCGCTGCGTGTCCGCGGGCGCACACCCCTTCCCCTCTCGGAGCCTCAGTTCCCCTGTCAGGAAATAAAGCAGGGCCTGATTTTCAAGTACTTCCGGCAGGAACAGTGGGAACGGAGGGGCTAAGCTTAGGGGCTGGGGCGCTCTCGTTCCTTGACCGCGCCTCCGCCCCTCTCCAGACCTCAGTTTCCCCACGGCGAGAGGGAACAGAGGAGTGGTTTATAAGTCTCTCCCGCCTCTGTGCTTCTAGGAGCTCGGGCGACGGGTGGGGGGCGAAGTGAGGGGTCGCTGCCCCGGCCCTGGGCTCGAAACTTCGCTCCCTCCCTGGCTGCCGGACCCGAGTCAGCGCTCGTGCCCTCGGCGGGCCTCAGTTTCCCCAGCCTCCCCGCCGGGCGCCGGGGCGCCGGGGGCCGGGGGTCCCAGGGGCGCAGCCCCCCGCGGCTGCGCGCTGGGCCGGACGGATGACATCACCGGGCCGGGGGCGGGGAGCGAGCGGGAGGGAGCGGGAGGGCCTCCTCCGCGCCAGGCTCAGCGCCCGGTCGGGCTCGGTCGGGCGGCCGCGGCCATGACGCAGGGTCCGGGCGGGCGCGCGGCCCCCCCGCCCCCCGCCCCCCCAGAGCCTGAGGCGCCCACCACCTTCTGCGCGCTGCTGCCGCGCATGCCGCAGTGGAAGTTCGCGGCCCCAGCCGGCTTCCTGGGCCGCGGCCCGGCGGCGGCGCGGGCGGCGGGGGGCGCGGGGGCGGC